CTCTGATTCCTCGTTTAAGACATTGGCCAAGGCAATGGAAGCCTTCAGATTGGCGTCAGAAATGAGGATTAATTGGAAAAAGACCATAGGGTGGTGGCTTTCCGATGAGGATCTTCCTCATTTGCAAGGGCCAGAGGCCGCCATGACATGGGAAACGCCGGATACCCCTACTCGCTACCTAGGTATCCTCATGACTAGGGAGGGTCTGGCGCCTCAGATGGCCCATAACATGCTAGCCAAACAGATAAATAAGCTAGGGAGATGGGGGAACACATTCACGTCGCTGATTGGTAGAGCCCTGGTGCTCAACACGTCTGTGTTTTCCATGATGTGGTATATAGCCTCGATATGGACAATTCCGGATAACTCAATAAAGGAGCTCAACCGCATAGCCAAGACTTACTTATGGACAGGTAATCCCAACAAAAAGGGGTGCATCCCCAAGATCGCATGGCAATACATCACTAGGAAGCCGTTACATGGGGGCTAGGGATTATAGACCCCACATGTGAGACGAAGGCCCTCCAAGCCAAATGGATAGTCAAAGTCTTGATGAAACCAAATACGGCATGGACTCTAGACAGCATAAGAGCCTTGGCTCCAGTGGCGTCGCCAGAAAATATGATCGGTCTGTTTTGGTTAATGAACAAGGAATGGAACTTGAAAACAGGAAGGAGAAGACTAAGGAGGTAATCTGAATCGACCGCAAATAGACACTCCGTACCGTATTGGTCGGCGCTGATCCGGATATGGAGAGAAATTTTACCAAAAAAGACCAACAGACCGAAATCCAGAGATGAGGTTTTGAGACAGCCCCTGTTCGACAATGAGTGGCTGAAAGACGAAAGCGACAGTCCCCTGTTCTTAGATCACAAATGGCTGTCATGGGTGAAGAACGGTATATGGACAGTTAGCCACTTGTGGAATGAAGATAAGAAAGAATGGGTGACCGAAGAGGACCTGAGCGCACGATTGAAGGGCTGCCACAGACGAGGGCCTAACCTCCAGTATATCATCAATCACATCCCTCAAGAATGGAAAGATATTTTGAAGGAAGCGTTGCCCTGGAAATGTGGAGAATGGGGGTTTAGAGTGCAAGAGCTTCCACCTTCACGCGTTTTCCAATTTTCGCACTTACAACTGGGATCAACCGCCAAAGCCATCTTTACCTCTTTCCCAATCTCTCAGTCCAAGCAGGGCATGCCGACGATACTCAATATGGATGTGGAAATGACAGTTATGAATTTCTTCTTGCTTAGGAAAATAAGGGTTTTAGGCTCATGGCCCAAGGCTATCTTCCGACCGGACACGGCAGTGCACAACCTGGAGTTCGACCCGGCAGAGTGGGGATGGAAGCTGGATAAGGAAAAAAAACATTAAGACGCATGTCCTCATATAGAACTACACAGTCAAACTGGGATACAAACTCTTGTTGAAAACAAAAGACCCAGATCCGGTGATCAAAGCCAGATGGCAGAAACAAATAGGCCAAGAAGCTGACAAAATCACACAGATCCCGTGGAAGAAATTTAAGATTATCAGACCAATTAAAATTAGAAGCCTTCAGTGGCTTATCGCTTACGTAGCGCTGCCTGTAAATCAATGGCTCCATACACAACGTCGCAGAAACGACCCCTCTAGCTCCGACTTATGCTCTATCTGTACAGAAGACGTACAAGAAAAGCTGGTACACTGTTTAATCAACTGCAGTGAGGTGACGGACTACTGGGCACGGGCCTCAGCTCTCCGGGACTCCCTTTTCCACACTTCCTTCCCCGAACAGCCCATTCAAATCCTTCTCTGGACTAACATTCCTGACCAACTCAGGAAGACGGAAAGACCCTCTATGGACGGTTTTCAAGATGTCGGCGACATCATCTCCCAGCGACGCTATGACAGCCGACCGAGTACCTGGTACACTTTGCGTACTGCACTCACAAAGCTGGCTGTTGGTTGACCCGTGGGGAACTCCAAACAACAACTCCAGATGTTCTCGCACGCTACGAATGCAAGATGGAAGGCAAGCTGGTATCTTCGGCTCCACGTCGCACCCGCGTCCAGGTTCCACCTTCAGATCGTCAGCTTCGCCCTCGACCCGGCTTGACTTCATAAGGAGGGGGAGGTGTTACATGCTGCGCCTACAACAAGGGCCATTTTCAGGCCCCGTGTCGTTTCAGCCTGAAAGCCTGAAAACAAGGGCCTACAGGCCGTGTGTCGTTTCAGCCCGAAAGCCTGAAAAAAGGGCCTACAGGCCCTGTGTCGTTTCAGCCTAAACGGAGGGCCATTTTCAGGCCCGCATAAGATCGACCTGCCCTGAAACTTAGGCACCAACCAGGGTTTTAGCACAGGCCATTTTGGGCCTGTTTTCAAGACAACCTTTTTTTGAGCTTCAATGCCAGGGTCTGGCAAGTTTTGGCATTGGCAAGAGCAGCCTCCTGGACGGGCCAGCACTATATAAGACTGGCCCGCCCTGCAGGCTGCAGGTAGTTCATAGGGACTTCCCAGGCACTTCACGTGCAGTTCAGGAGGCAGGAGG